ACGCGGGGGAACCGAGCGCGGGAGAGCGCGGCCGGAGGCGCCGGGAGGGAAAGCGAGCCCCGCTGAGGGGGCTCCGCGGAATCGCGGACTCTGCGACACCTCCACCACGGATCTCTGTGGCGAAGGGGGTTGCTCTGTCCCGTTTCAGGTGGGAATGTGGAGGAGAAAGAAAATAAAAAAACCGCCCATTTTCATCTGTTAGTAGCCGGCGAGAGCGGTGGTGTGAGCAGAGGTTGCTTTCAGGCCCCGCAAGGCCACTCTCGGCCTGTCCCTGCTTACCTCGTAGTACCCCTGACCCACGGGGCAGGCAGGCGAGGGAGCTGGTTTACAACTGACAGGAGACTCCAGCGACCGCTTGATATTTTCCAAAAACTCCTCTTACTTGTTAGCCTTAAATGACTCAGTAGGCTCCCTTGGTTTTTAAGAGCTGAATATTGCTGCCCTAGGGTCACACAGCGCTCCACGGCGCCTTGTGCACGTGCCTGCGCGTGAGCCATGCGCGCAGCTACGCAGAGTAAACAAGGACAGGCTCCCACTAGCGCCTTCTACAAAGCCCGGGCGGTGGGAAGATTAAAAAGGGAAACAAAACCAAGGCTCGGGCTCCCAACAACAGCCCGCTATTGTTTTACCTGACTCTGCTGGTGTTTTTATTCCTAGGTTGCAGACTGCTTCCCGTATAATCAATAGCAATCCTCTGACTCGGGCGGCGCAGGAGCGAGCGCCCCGGCGCAGAACCGCGCTCCGGCGCACCGCGTTGTTTTTAAAGCCTGCGTAACAAGATCGCTTTAAAACCCAGCTGGCAGCTGAGTAATGTTAATTGCTGTCAAGTCTGCCACGCAGATATTGAGGTTTCTAACTCGGACGCAGGGAAGGGTTAGATTGGAAACCGATTACTGGTCAGGTGAGGCAAACTGCAGCGGATCTGCACGCGGCATAGCGTCTCCTGGCTGGGTTTTTGACGAGCCTCTCCAGTTAGAGGCTGCAGAGTCACTGTGATTGCCCGTGCGGCGTTCACAGGCGCCCCCAGAAGACCAACAACCCACTGACGTGGAGCCTCTCTAGAAACTTGCCTCTTTATGACTCTTGTTCCAGGGCTCATGTCTGCGCTTTTGAGGTGAGGGTTGAGCTTTTTCTATGCTAGGAGACCAGTGCATGTCTCACTTGCACATCAGTGTCAACTGAGAAGGAAATAGAAGTGGTTTCTTTCATTTTCAGTAAACAGCTAAATCTGAAGTTACTTAAGCCTAGCTGTCCACTTTTGATAGTCCAGGGAGTGAGGAGTAAAAAGGAATGCTATGGGAAAAAAAAAAAGCCATTCTGTATGTTCAAGATCTTCAAATCTGGGGACACTGATGGTCAGGCAATGGCAAAATGCCAGAGGGTTACTTCTAGTTTGATTGTGCATTGCTGTTAAAAAAAAAAAAAAAAGAAAAAGAAAAAAAAAGAATGCACGACAATTCCAACAGCTTATGCTTTCCAGACTAAGTAATAATTGCCTGCTGGTTAGGCTCATTAACAATAAAAGCAATACCTGGTCAGCTTTGTTTTCATCCTGGTGAGTTGTGGTTGGGACTACACTTTATATCCCCAGAGGCTGCATTTGGGGAACTCCTACTGTGCAGAAAATGTATGGAAACTCCAATCTATGTATATAATCAGGCTGGATGGCAAAAGAGCTCAGGAAGGATATTTGTGCCTTTCAATGATTAAAAAAAAAGATATGGCAGTGTTTCTAAGAGAGGGACTCAGAGGGATTCCTTGAGGAAATTAGACATTGTTAAGAAATGGCTCCGAGTAAATAGACCGAAACCAAGACAGAGACAGCGAGTCTGAAATGGAAAATTGTGAACTGAGGGCAAGTTATACTCTGACCCCTCTGCATTCTGCTGAGAGAGCTTCCATGCCAGCACAAGACAAGCCTCCTACCTGGGAACCGGAGCCCCAGGGACAGCGCCTCTGCCAGAGTTTTTTGCTCATTAATGTACTTTGATTCAAGAGATTCGTCTAAAATCATGTGCAGTGGTTTCCCAATGACATCCAGGAGGGAGATACTGCACCAGCCCATAACCCTTATGCTAGCCTGCTGTCCTGCTCAAAAGACTGGTGAACAAAATTGCCTTTTTTATTTTGTTAGCCTCTCCATACATATCTCTGATGTATCTTCAGAACTATTTCTTCTTATTTTACTGATGAAATGCTGTTGTCAGCATTGTTCTGTAACTGAGGAATATATTGTAATCTTAGGTCTTGCAAGCTTCCCTGCCTGGGTGGGCTCCTGAGCCCCACACAGGGCCAACGTGACTTTTGTGGGGGCAGTCTGTCTTAAAGCCCCACCTATTGGACCCAAAAGAGTGTGTCACGATCTCAGTTTTCATTTCTATTTTTCTAGCTCTCATGCTTGGAATAGGGAACTTGAGAGTAGCTTAATGGATCATAAAACAAAGTATAAACAAGGAAAACACTCTGCGTTGATTATGCTTATTTTGTTATCTTAAGAACAAGTTGCTGTTTTTTTTTCCAGGGGGCTCAATCCTTACTGAGTGCTTAGGTTAGGAAAATAACTGTATTCTGTCCTGACATCCGTCAGCAGAATTTACCAACGGTGTTCTGTCACCACAGAAACATTTTACCCTTGTATGAGGCAGAAAAAGCCCAGCTTGAATTTCAGGTTTTGACCCTCTTGCACATTCCTCGCACGAGCTAACCTTGCAGAGAAAGTTGGCCTTCACTGGGACCGAAGGGTTTGCTGCGTTCACCACGAGCTGCTGATAGGAAAAACTGCTGCATGTTATTCGAGAGCAGAATCACTTACTGAGAATATGTGAGCACTGAAAGGATGTTGCCGTTGGGCTTTTCTTCCAAAGGAAGCAAATTTTAGGGAGGCTTGCTGGTGCTGGGATGGCTGCTGCTTTTTCTTTTC